CCGAAGCACGCCTCTCTGGTGGCTGTCTGCCAAAGGAGATTTGCCCCGCAATGCAGCTGCACCTGAAATTTCCCTACTGGTTCATGGCTCGCGCTCACTGGCTATTTATGCGCTATTGAAACAATAAATATTCAAAGCACAATGCTCTCTTTTGTTAGACTTCAAAAGGAATTTATCTTTGTGCTTTATAGATTCGGTGAATTACAGCCACTTCATCATTCTACGTGTTTCATGTTTAGTGTAGAGTGGGTCCCTTTTTTGGTACTTGTAAGCTCTACACTTCTTTTTTCTCTATTGAATTTGGCACTTGTAATTTAAAATCTCATGCTCGAGTCATTAGGTTTTTATTTATTTATTTTTTATTGTTATTTTTTTAATTTAACAGTTAAGGTCAACTTACATGTGTTTTGAAATTGGTTTTTCGTAATTTCTCTTTTATTCAGTAAAAAACAAGGAGTAGAAGTGTAAAAAAAAATGTCAACTTTATAATTTTATCTATTGAATGGTATTAATTTTATCAATTTTTAAATAAAGATACTAACTTTCAACATTTTTTATTTAATGATGTCAACTTTTAACTTTTTCTATTTAAAGATGCTAACTTTCAACATTCAGTTAAAAAATCAATTTGTCACATTAGCATCATTATCCAATTAATTCTTAAATAAAAAAAATTTAAAGTTAGTATCTTTAAATAAAAAAATTTGAAAGTTGACATCTTTAAATTAAAAATATTGAAAGTTGATATTCTTATTTAGAAATTGACAAAGTTAACATTCTTAAATAGAAAAAATTATAAAGTTGATATCTTTTTTTTGCATCTTTACTCAAAAAACAAGTCATTTACACCAAAACTATTATAAAACTCTACTTCCTTTTTGGCCTTTTCAAAAATTCAAATTTTAATAAATAAGGCAAAGAGCAAATCGCCTCAAGTCATTAGTTATTAGAACATCATTAATGTTGCTCAATTAATGTTGTGGAAGTTTCATGATGAAGACCAGCAAAAAAAAAAGTTGAGAAAAACGTTCGAGAATATAAGCTGCAATGGATGCTATGTTTATAGAAGATCCATCGAATGTTCTTGAAATATATCATTATCTTCAACTTGTACTTAGTGTGTGAGGACCAACTCAAACATGGACCCAAATAAAGTTGTTCTATATGCAGAAACTCGAGGCTGCATCTCATCTGTTTGTGGCCATATATACCCTCTAGAGGAGATCTCTTTTTCTTTCTTTAATTTTATGGAATATTTTTTGGCCGTCCTTTGATTTTATGGATGGAGAGTTTGAATTCATATCTCCAATAGTGAAAAGCACACACATTACCAATCAAGCTTAAACTTTTGGGATAATTCCAATTTAGGGTGGTTTCAACAGAAGAATGAGTATTTAGGAGAGGTTAGAAAGTTATTCTCACAAAAGTCTTGATTTTAAAAATTATTCCAAATAAGTATCTTGTACCACCAACTTTACCCTTCGCTTAAACTTAAATTCAAATTATTGCCATTATTTAAAAACCCTAAACATTTTTAAAAAATAAAAAAATAAAAACCATAAATATTTAATATTAAAAACTAAAAACTAATTCTCCGTCTGCAAATGGAAAACCTAGAAACCACGGAAAAAGAAAAACCAACATCCCTAAATTGGAATTATTCCTAAACTTTTCTATAGAGGAAATTTTACTTTGGTTTAGTAAATCTAATTTTTTTGTAATTTAAATTATATTATAAAAAATAATTGAGAGACAATTTTTTTATATAATTTTACATATCATTTAATAATTAACTCTTTTTACTTTACTAAGACCCATAATATTATATATTTACTCATTTAAAAATATATATAAATTATATATTAAAATTATAATAAAAAATTGTAGATATATTGTTACCTTTACTATAAAATATGAACTATAAAATTAGAAAACTCGTCCTTGTATTCAAGTTTCCCTTGTATTATGCAATCCTGCAGACAACACTTTTTCAACATATTTTTTTCTTTTAGGAATTACTAGTTAAGTTTTACATTTTTTTTTTTAAAGCGTGGATAATTGTTACAATCAAGGAGACTAAGGGAGAGGGAAAAATGAGAACGACTTGATAGGATTTGAACATGACTCCACTAGGTGAATTCCACATAGGCAATAACTATACCACCGTGTCTGTAATATGGACTTTTAGGTTACCTGTTAAGTCTAAAATATTATCCATAATATGTACATGGGAAAAAAGAAAATCAAGACGTCTTAACATTAAAAATGTCAGAATATTTAATAATAACTACATGACAAATTTAATAAAATTAGGATTCAGACTATACCACAAACATTTAATTGTTATGGCTCAACACTTTAATATTTTAAATATTTTTAATGTGAGAACGTTCTGATTTTTCCAATTCTCTATATACATTGGATTTATTTGGAAGGACCTGAAAGATATGAGGAAAGCCCACAAGGAAGCCTGGTTCTGAGTCGGGCTCAAAACAAATTCGCCTTATAATACATGGGTTGTTTGGGCTCAGTGTCTCAAGCCCACTGAAAAAGAAGTGTTCGATGCCTCTTTTATACGATAAGAGGCTACAAATTGAGACGGGGATATTATTCATGCTAGAGTTTGTTTGGTTCAAATGAATTTGGTGTTTTGCTGGGTTCAATTCAAAACTTCAAATAAATGAATATTGTGTTGAAGATCAAATATTCAATCTTGGGGACCAGCGAGGAGGAGTGGAGAAACAGAAAATGACATTCTTTTATATATTTCATCATGAGATGTACACAAATTGACTTAAAATAAATTTTACAAAAAAATGAATGTAATATATCTTTACACATCTTATTAAAAAGTCTCTTATTTTCATTAAAAGAGATTAATACTCAACTATTTAAATGTTAATTTATTTCTCGGGAAAAGAAAAAGAAAGAATAAACCATTTTTGGGTTTAGCACCTGCTTTTGGCTAAACAAATCTTTCTTTGATGCCTAATATCTCACTAGCTCATGTGACTCCTGATTCCCTGGACGAGAAGCTAAAAAGCAGTATGAGTCAATGACACCTTCACGACATCTAGACAAAGAATTTGATAGAAAGTTGAGCCTCTTCTTCCCAACATGAGAAGGAGATGCCAAGCACAAACAGACGATGGAGGAAACAGATGATGAAGGGAGACGTAAGGGGTTTCATGAACATTGAAATATCAGAAAATATTAGACAGAAACCGACCCTCCAATGCTATAATGCATGCAACTTACTAAAATCCAATAAGCATGCCCTATCTGCCTTTATTATCCTTCTGAGACTGAAAATTTGAGAGAATGTGACAAGTCTTGTCATCATACATATAAGCCCTGGCTAAGTTCAGTGCTATATGCTTGGCCTTTTCTAGGCATGGGGAATGAACTCTATGCTCCCTGTTTATACCCAACAGTTTTACTATATCAGCTATACATGCCCTTTTCACTTGGATTTTCTGGTGGCAGGTAATGGGGTATTGGAGCAAGCAACATAGGTAAAGGATCTTTTGGAACATTTAAACATAAGGCACCACTACAATAATTGAGATACACAATGATTCGTTGTATAATTTTTATTGACAACAAATTAAAACTTTAGAAGAATTACATGGCGTTAAACAAGTGTATGTATATTGATTCACATGTTTTTATTAGATAAAAAGAACTAATAAAAACTATTGCGACTTCATATTGTGAAGATCTGTTGTCTATGAATGCGATTTTGGCTTGGGAAATACTTGCGCATGATATTGAGAATCTCTAGTTGGACTAAAAAAAGATTTGATTGCTCATTGATTTTTGGTTTGTTAATAAAAAAATTGTATGGATAACCATGATTGGCTCACTGCAATAATAGAGTCTAATAAACGGATAGAATCAATCACATGCAGTTAGGATATAAACCTCTTATTTAATTTAATGCAAATCGGGCAGTGGTTTGTGTTTACACAGATACCGTAGGTGGCAGTGGCAGAATCTATGCTTTCGTGTAAGATTCCCCTCCAATTCAAAATGAGTAGTTTCAGAGGCAATAAAGCAAACACCTTGCCGGCATGCATTCAGCCTAAACAGTGATGTAAGACAGGATTAGAACCCTTTTTTTCATAAAAATTGGGTTATGGAATATCATGGTAGTCAATTATCAACTGTTTACAATAGAAAAAAAACTTGAACCTATAAGAGCTTAGATGAGTTAATATTGTTAAATGATTTAAACTTCTATATTACTAAGTAGCTAGTTTTTGATATACTATTATCAAGAGAAAAATGGGGAAAATAACAGGGGACAAATTTCTTTGCTAAAGTGCCTTTGCTAAAGTGCTTGTGAGTGTGAGGGGAGGTAAAATATATTCACCTTTGAGACAAAAAGTACTTGTACAAAAAACCCAGGAGCAGGGGGATTTGTCTCGAGTGGAGAGGTGGTTTTCAAGGGGGCATATGTCCCCATATGATGACCCCCAGGAGAAGAAAGAACGATAAAGAATAAAACACAAGTGATAGTGTCAGAGCATGTGACCTTTAAGTTCAAGCCACACTTTGATAGCATGGAAGGCAGGGCAAAAAGAAGGGGAGGCATAAGAGTGGCCCGTGAAGCCTGAAATGCCTGGTCTTACATCTGTTCATATATGTACAAGCATTGACTGGCATTTTCTGAGTCAATTCCCACATCCCTTCCTAAGCAGACAACCAAATGATCCATTATTATCTATCATTTCAAATTGAGCCATATCAGTTTGGCATTTCTCAAATAGCCTCTGAAGGGACCTATAAAACTCTTCCCTCAGACCCTCGGTACTATGCCAATAAAGATAGTTTGTCCTGAGGTTGGGTGTCTTGGCATTTGCTTTTCCCAACTGCAATTATCATGGGTTAATTAAATCCAAGATCTAGGATTAGTGCTTCACATTTCATATAAGACAAGCAGATGTGTATGTCTGAATCAGTATATAAACAGGCAAATAAAGGATCCCAATGCATTCATATCCACTTAAACACACACCCCTTTTCATCTCATGCTATAAAAGCAAGGGCTGCCACTTTCAAATGTCAAAAATAGGTTCACAGGGGAAACAGAGGAAGATGGTAACTAAGCTGGGAAGGAGTACACCAGGGTTCAGAAAGCTTCACCTTCTTCAAGCCCTCGCTGGCTCTAAATCAGTAATGCAAAACTATAGGATTATTCTTTTTTTTTTTCACTTGTTTCAATTGTTAAGTGTTAGGATTCAATCATCTTTTATCCATGTTGATCTTATTGTTTTGTTTTTTAAGGTGAAAAGGAGTTCCATCATCTTGGATGCTCTTCTATACATTCAGCAGCTGAAACTCAAGCTGCAAGAACTTCAAAGAGAATACCTAAACCTACTAGCTATAAAAAATGAGTACTTGACTCTTATGAAACATACCCAAATACCTAAGGTCTATTATGTTCCTCGGTGACAACTTCTCTGTTTATTGTTACTTCAATTTAATTAACTTTGTTTATGTGCACGGGATGATAACAGGAGGTGAAGGTTGAGAAGACTCAGGAAGGGCTACTGGTGAGGGTGACATGTAGGAAAGGAGGAGATTTGTTGGTGTCAATATTAGAGGCCTTTGATGAAATGGGTCTGAATGTTATTCAAGCTAGAGTTTCATGCACCAATTTCTTTGCCATGGAGGCCATTGCTGTAGCTCAAGACAAGGAGGCAGTTGATGCCAGAGATGTGAGTCAAGCTGTTCTTAAGGCCATAGAGAGGGGAGATGGGGAAGGAGAGTTGTAATTGAAGTGAAGGTTTTCCTTCCTTAATCCAAGTTGGTTCTGTTGAAGACGGTAATAATTAGAGTTTCCTTAATGGATGCATATTCTCATTTTCATTTGAATGCCAAGAGATGAAATTTTAAAATTTTTAATTGGATACTTTTGCTTTGAACTCTGCATAAGAGAGTTGAAAAAGGGATGGAATGCGGTCAAGTAACACTTCCCTTCCACTTCCTCTTCCGGATCATGAACACATGAACATGGGATTGATATATTCTATATAGAAAACTATGTACACATTAAGAAGAGAGATTCAAAAGTTTCAAGCATTTTTGTATGAAGACGCTAATTTCTGATCTGCACCTGAGTAGAAGCCATGCCCGCCCTCCCCCATGAAGACACTTTGACGAAACTGTGACATCACAAATCAAAATAAATAATACCTGCCCAGTTCTCACTTATCTTTAAGATTTGTAAGGTTTGAATATAAAATTCATAGCTTGAAAATTTCAACATATATACCTGCAATCTTGAGACATCAACTAATATATTACTAACTTTACTTCTTAAAGAAGAAAAAGAAAATAGTTTGTTAATTAGAACATGTTCACAATTGCTGGGCTTTTGGGGATATTCGTGTTTGTTCTCAAGAATCTAAACCGAATACACGTAACTAACTGGGGAGGGCATGCCCATTGCGTCCTTGATTGTGATGTCTTGCCCAAAAAATAAGATGAAATGCCAATTTTAGTCCCTAAACTCGATATTTTGAATAGTTTTTGTCTCCGAACTACTTCCAATAGTTTTTTAATACATTAACTTCATAAATTGCGCCTTTTTTCACTCTTCCACCAGTGGGAGATGACGTGGCTGTTAACTTAATCTAAAATGACACTTTTTTATGATGTGATAATGACACATTATTAAATTAGTTTCGATGAACTCATGGTATCTAAAAATGTTTCGAGTAGGAAAAAAATTATAAGAGAAAGAAAAAGATTTTAAGAGTATTTTGTCATTTTATAAGTTTTAATATTTTGATTTATAAAGAAATTTAATTAGTGGATGATTTTAGTTTTTTAATTTATATTTTTATCCATTTAAATTAAAATTATCAGTATAAATACCACATATTTTGTTTTACGTACTAAGCTAAAAAACTTATTAATAACGGATATGTTATCAAAAAAATTGAACGAAAATAACTCTTTAAATAAGTTAACAATCACATCATCACTTAACTCATAGAAAGATGAATAAATTGTAATATATAGAGTTGAGGACAAAAAACTACTAAAATAATTTAAGGATTAAAAGTATTTAAAATACAAAATTTAGGGACCGAAAAAAGAAAGGCAGCAGTTCAATGACCATATAACTGGTTTGCTTCCAACCCATTAAAGTTCTTGATATGGGTCCATTATTATTTATTAGGGTCTACCTGGAAATTAAATTAATATATGGGTCGAACATATAACAAAATCCAAAGAAAGGACGAAGGCTTATGAAAACTCAGTTTAAGCCCCATCCATGTAAAATGGAATGTCAAGGCACACTGTTACCTGAGTAATAATCAAGGGAACTATTGTACTGATACATGTCTGTTTTTGTATCTGTCGTAAGTCATAACTACAAAAAGGCTTGCAACATCGAGTCAAGGGGTACAATAATTCGATACCAATCTTATATCAGTTTGTATGTAATTTGAGATTAAATTCTTTTCAAAATAATGAAGACACACATAATATATATAAGTTATGATTTATTTATATATAAAATTTATATATTATATTTATAAAAAAGTTTAACTTTAATGATTAAATTTTATTTATTTATTATTATATTTATTAAAAATAATTATTTTTATTTAAAAAATTATAATAAATTTTCATTATTAAAAATGAAAAATAAAAAATCAAAATTTTATATAAATATAATATATAAAATTCCTCTATAACTAAATCTCTATTATTTATATAGATATATATATATATATTTAATATTGATCTCAAAGTTGAAATCCTTAACCAAGTCTGCTGGATATCCTCTTCTATATTTTATACAAGGTTGGGACATGGGGTAATGTCGTAATGAAATTGTACGTTAGATGTTTTGATTATATTGAGCGTCCATTCTTAGTTTATTAATGGATGTGACCCATAAATGACGAGAGTTGTTTAATTTTTTTATTTAGTCCATATAAATATTTAACCTTTTTCTAAAAAAATTTTTTTTTTTTGGCCAACAACATTTTAAGCTTGATTCCTGCCTATTGATTATTGTCTGTCATTTTTTTTTTAGGAAAATCGTCTCTCGTTTTAGATCATGATAAACTTAAGAAAAGAATTTTTTTTAATATATTGAAATTATTTATATATATTAATTAAAAAAAAATTTCATGACGCTCAAATATAGCACCCACAAAAAATAAATAATTTTAATTCAAAATCCATATCATTGGTCAATGAGTTGTTCGATAAACTTATGAAGAGTTTGCAGGGAAAAGAAAAAAAAAAGAGTTATGTACTGCCATATGCAGCTCATTATTAAATACTATATAAATATTTTTTTTGATGTAAAATACTATATAAATATAAAATGCATAATTTATGAGGGTATGGAATCTAGATATGATCACAAGATAAATAAAATATAATGTAAAATTTACTTAAAATTCATTAATTATGTAGTTGAGATTATGCATCGTAATTTTTATTTTTCTCACAACTTGTTATTAGAGTTTTTTTTTTTTTTTTGTATAATAACTTATAATTAGTTATAGTACACCAAAAAGAATAATTATTTTTATGATTTATGAAAATACATATAGAAACTAAGTTTGAATCTTGGTACGGTCACATAGATTTTCTAAAAGCAATAAATCTAAAATTTAAAATAAAAAATTGGTTAAATACTAATTTTGGTCTCTTAATTTAAGATTTTGTATAATTTTTATCATTTAATTTTTTTTTCACTTTTTTGGTACGTTAACCATGAAAAATATACTTTTTTAGTCTTCCATCAATTAATCCATTAAGTTTTCCTAAATCTACATATTTTTTATCACTCAATTTTAAGTTGAGGGATGAAAATGTACATATATTAAAAGTTAAGAAATTAAAAATGTTTAAATTTATATAATATAATAGATTAATTGACAGAATGATTAAAAAAATATATTTTTCATAATTGAAAAAAAAAGTAAAAAAAATTAAAAAATAAAAATTATATAAAATTTTAAAATTAAATGACCAAAATTAACATTTAATCTAAAAAACCAAAAAATATTATCATTTCACTACTTAAACTTATTTTTTACCGATAACATATTTGAATGACATCAAAAGCATAAAACTCTTTCCATAAAATAATAAAAAGAAAGCATAAAAGTCTAATTAGTCTTATTATTTTATTGCAACGGATCGCATTTTTCCATAAAAATTATACAAATAGGAGCTCATTTTTTAATCATCATCAACATCAATTAAAGTAC